TTTTTACTTAGACAGACTTGTCTTGAAAACTTGAGGGCACTGCCTGCCAGTTAATATTACGACCTCCCTGACTGCAGTTCACAAGTAATAAGGATGATCACTGCAGCATAAGACACCTTACAGTACACTGTGCTGTACTTGACATGTGGTCTACTACTACCTAAGTCATCGTCCGTTCGCTGCGACGACGGAACAGCAGTAAGTAACTACATGAAGCTGATGTTTCGTGTGAATCTACGTGCATCAGTTGTGTTTGAGGTTGTGATCTAGTTTTTCTCTCCGCAGACCTATTCGACTACTGCTTACTCACTAGGCCAAGTTGTCGTGAGGATGAATCGGACTCGAACACAAACATTTTATTATTCAGGCAAAAGAAGAACAGTACCTAAGCAGGCAAAACAATTTACTGGAGAAAGTACTGCGTAAGTGTGTACTTTTCCTTCACTGAAAATGGTTTGCTCATTAGAAGCGATCCAACGTAAATTATTTACCTATGTTTTTCGCCTTATTCCGAGGCACAAACAAAAGCTGTCCGTTTTGAAATACTGGCACCGGAACTTGGTCGAACGCTTCCATCGGCAGCATTTCCATTATCGAATGACCATCTGAATATTTAGCCACCTCGGGCGCGATCACCGAAGCTTCGCTTTCGACGGCGCTTTCGTCGGCAGACGGTTCGGCGAGTTCAGCGACTTCCGTCGACGTTGCTTCAGTAGTGGCAGTGGTTTTGCATGGTTTCGTGCAAACTTGGATTTTGTCTCTGTAATTGCAGATCTTCATCACCGGATCATAGAAGAGCTTGGCTGGGCAATGTTCGAGGTATGCTAAACCACCAGCACAAACGTAGTACAGTCTTGAACAAGGCTTCAGCGGATTTGGATATTGTCCATCAGACTTTTGCGAGCAGTCGAAAATCGACGGAGGCACTAAAATTAAACGCCCACTTTCATCCGCTTCGTTTTGCATTTTCCAATCGGCTCACTTATACATTTGCATACAAGAAAAATTCATATTTTATGAGTTAGATAATCCTCATGTCGTACCGGTCGGGGGCTGCGTCACGTCGGAAGCCGGCGTTGATACAGTATGGATTCCACAGGAAGAAACGCTGAAGGCGTAGTCGCATTCGTCGTGTTCGGCGTCGAACACCAGCCCTTCTGGGCAAAACATTCGCAACGCAGATTTGTCGACGCAGGAGAAGTACATACGACAGCATGGTCCACTAGGGTAGTTGCCGTCCGGCCGGTGGGTACAGTCGAACCGGGGAACGGGAGAGGTGACGTCGCTGATCGCTGTAGTTGTTGTTGTTGGCAAGGTTGTGCGACGAGTTCCGGAGCACACAGGTATGTTGTCATAATCGTCGCACACTCGCAATTCCGGATCGAAGAATGTCGCTGCAGGACATGACCGTTGACTGGCGATGCCATTGCTGCACGAGAAAAACTTATTTGAACAGCGTTGAATCGGATCCGGATAATCTCCATTCGGAGATCCAAAGCAGTCAAAAGGCACTAAAACACAGCAGTCTTGAACAGGCCAAGAATCGGTGCCTGGTGCAAATCATGAAGCTATTTAACGATGGCCGTGGAAATATACTTTCACTTTTATAATCACCGTGCGGTTTATCTTGTAAGCGGCCGAAGAACTGAGTAGAATGAATTATTACAATGAATTCTGTCCAGCTGTTTTACCTTTCACTATAGCAAGGATGCATCTAGTGGTATCTTCGACGTTTCTTGTTTCTGTTAAACACTCATGAAAGAAGGAAGCACTTTTCTTGTGGCGGCGGCAAAATACATGAATCTGTAGAGTTCTTGAAAAGCTGCTCTGCTACATACACCTTAAAGAAAAACTTAATCGACCCAAGTTTATGGGCAGAAATTTTTGACTGATTCAGAATCTCTGTTCGTAAATAAGCACAGATTCCTGTATAACTGCTTCAAAGTATAGCTAACGCACTTGGAAGCGTTGTTACTGGAAAAAATGCTGAAAAAAAGCCAACCTGTTTTTAAACATAACTTCGGTTGAAATTATGCGTCAACTTATTCATATGACTACAGTGGTTTTGTTTAAATGTAAGCAGATTCGACGCCACTTTGACTTGATCTGCAGCGTTATCTTGCTGTCGGACTTTTCCTCTATAATTTGGATAATTTCAGAGTTACAATAACTTATGGAAAATCGGATTTACTCATCGCGATAAAGCATGATATTTCATCAAGAATCTGCAACGTTACTTTTAGCTTGTTTCATCGAGAAATCAGTCCTGATAATGGTAGTTCTCGCTTAATAATTTCTCAACATATGATATGCAAAGCGCCGCGAGTGTGGAAGTAAAAACAGTGGAAAAATGTTCTTTGACGTTTCTTCTTCACAGGCCACGATCCGCTGAAAAAAAACCATCGTAGCACATACATAATCAGTTTAACTAGTAAGGACATTAGTTGCTGGCTTTGAAAATATTTGCACGATGCGATGACCGCGAAGTGACTCGCTGCTCAAAGACGGCTTAGAAAAAGCGGCGCCAATCAATGCCCGATACATCCTTGCCAGTAAAGCTTAGACCGAGGCCAAACGAGGCAAAAATACTAATTACAGGCTCTGAGCGTCACCTTGTGGAGTGGTGGTCGTGACTCCCGGCGTCGTCGTCGTTCTAACTATACCGGAGCATGCCAGTATGTCGATGAAATAATCGCAGGTCTGAGGAATCGGGTTGAAGAACAGTCTGTTCGGGCACCTCATCTCGTACGTGAAACCGCCGGCGCAGATGAAGTAATGTTGCGTACATGGGTTCAGTGGGTCGGCGTACAATCCGTTCTCCAAGTTTCTGCAGTCAAATGCCGGCGCTAGAGATAGAAATTGTTACAGGCGACTCCGACTCAGTGAGTAACTCTCGTTAAGGTACCCGCCGTGCTGGGAGTAGGAGTTGGTGTCGGTGTCGTTGTAGACGTACTGTGCGAACAGGCGAAGATGTTCGAGTACAAATCGCACCGCTTTCTGTCCGGATCGAAATACAGTCCTTCAGGGCAGTCCTGATACGTAGCGACCGCAGAAGCGCAGACGTAGTAGAACGTCGAACACGGGTTTGTAGGATTGGCATGTAAACCGTCCGGCAAGAAGGTGCAGTCAAACGGTACCACTAAAGATAATGAAATGAGATCAAGGCAAAGATTCAATACTACATGCCGTGAGTTGTCGTTGGCACCGTCGCCGTGGTAGTTGTTGCGCTACTTCCTGAGCAGGCATAGACATCCTGAAATTCGGCACAGGCCTTTTTCTCGATGTCGAAGTACAAATCACCAGGACATCTTAGTTTCTGCGCCACGGTGCCCGTGCAGTAATAGAAAATATGACTACATGCTAATGTGGGATCTGGATACAGCCCATTCTTTAAAAAGGTGCAGTCCAAAGCGGGCCCTAAATGGCAATAAAGTTTACACATGCCTGAATCACAATTAATTCATTCACTTTCAGTGGTTACAACGTCAGAGATCGGAGTTGTGGGCGTGGACGTTCTTGGAGTTCCCGTGCAGATGAACGTATCCGCCGCATACTGGCACGACTGCGTGTCAGGGTCGAAAACCAGATTCTCCGGACAGTGCAATCTTTGCGCCTCATGACCAATGCATGCGTAAAACGTGCAGCTGCATGGATTTGCCGGATTGACGTAGAAACCGTCTGGTCTATCAGCACAATCGAAGTGAACAGCTGAAAGTTTTCCATCACACTCGAAGAAATTTTATCTTTATTATAATTTAACATGCCTCCAGGCATTAACTAACAGTAACTTTAAGATTTTGGAGAAAATTTTGCCGGGGTATGTACGCATTTACATTCAAGAGTTTTCAGAAAAAAACTTTATTGAATTTACTTCCTTTCAAAATAGAGTATGACATATGCTTTCAGATGCTTCAGATTAGGGTGCAGCATACTATTAACCTATCATAATCTTTACCCAATAGATTAAGCAAAAATGTACATTTGCCACCTACGCTTTTTCTAAAACTAGTTTTAATGGATAACAAATGGATACCATCCTCTGCTGAGTGGGGCAACGCATTATGTACGAATATAAAGAGTTTTATTAAGAACAATTGCACGGGTTCTGATCATATGAGCAATGAAGACTTATTTCAAGATGTGCCTTCTACGTCCTGATAACGATCACTTGATCTTCCATCTGTCTTGCCTACAGACGTCATTTATATTCAGGCAGTAGAGGGTGTAGTAAAGTGTCAGTAATCAATGAGGCAAACAGCCTCAAATTCTTTCGCTACTTTGTGGAGGATATCTGATAGGAAGAATGCGCATACTGCTGGGCTGGACTGAATTAGTTGGATCTGTTTACAGCTGCTTGTCAATACAATGTGGTCAACAGTTAATTTCACGTTCAAGATCGCATTAGTTTTTGATATTACGGCAGAATACTCACGTTCATCAGTGGTAGTTGGAATAG